CGTTGTCATGTGACAATTGCCATAGTCTAATCAGCGTCCTATGTTGGCTCTCACTTCTCTAGTTCATTCTACATGGCTTTCAGAATGAGCTTCCTAAAATAACCGTGCTTTGCCTATATCACTTCTTTTGTTTCATATTGTTGTAGGAAAAAATATTTGCAGCTCATACTATGAAGAGCTGAGCTTCCTAATATAGAAGGTCCTAGAAAATTGATATAAAAAGACCTACAGGTGGATAGAAAAAAATGGAAGTACAAATTCCCAAAAGGAAAAGCAAATAGCTACCAAACATGGAAAGATGAGCAGCCTCACTTAGTATAAGAGAAATGCAAATTAAAATTGCACTAACATTCATTTTACTCACCTGGTTGACAAAAAATCAAAAGTTTCATAATACATTCTAACCAAGATGTGGGGAAATAGGTATTTTCTTATGTTGCTGGGGAGCGTAAACTGGTATTGAATACAATCCCTACAGAAGGTAATTTGCCATTACATACCAAAAATATCAAAAGTATATATATATATACCCTTCAAATCAGCATTTTTACCTCTGGAAATTTATCTTACACATATACTTGCACACACCAATGATACATGAGCAAGATTATTCATTGCGGGATTGTTTGCAGTAGGAGAAGATTGAAAACAACCTAAATATCCATCAATAGAACACTGATTGAATAAATTATGGTACATCTCTTCAAAGGAGTGCCACGAATTTAATGAGAAAATCTCCAAGATATACTGTTAAGTGAAAAAAAAAAAGCTAGGAGTAGAATTGTAGGTATAATACGTTACTTTTGTGTAGAGGTGGGAGTAACACACATTCACTTAGAAACACTCTGCGAGGCATAAACAATGTTAACAGCAGTTGTTACCTGCAGTGAGAAGGGAATTGGGCAGATGGGAGACGGAGTTAAGAGCGGGACATTTCACTGTTATACAATCACATTTATATTTCAATTTGCAAACCAAGTGAATATTCCCGAATCAAAAGATTATTATTAAAATGTTCCCATTAAAATGTCCCATGGCTGGTGTGGCTCAGTTGGTTGGAGAGTTATTCGGAAAATCCGAAGGTCACAGGTTCCATTCCCAGTGAGGGTACATGCATGGGTTGCAGGTTCAGTCCTTGGTCAGGGAGTGTAAGGGAGGCAACTGATCTCTTTCTCTCTCTCTCTCTTCCCCACTTCCTCTCTTTCTGGAATCAGTAAACATATTTTAAGAAAGTACTCCTATTAATGTATTGAGCACCTACTATGTGCTAGTCACTGGGGATACAAATGTGAAAGTAGTTGTGGTATGGTGAAAAGACCATTGAACTTGAAGTTAAAATACCTGATTCTGACCTTGAAGTAAATACCTGACTCAAATTCTGACTCTGCTTCTTGCTAGCCATGGGTCTTGGCACATAGTAGGCATGCAACAAATATCTCTTGAATGAATTTATGGTTGAAGTTACTTAACCTTTCTGAGTCTATTTCCTCCCATGTAAATGGGCATAAAGATGCTTCTTTTAAAAAAAAAGATTTTAGTGATGTTCAATTATAGTTGTCCCCGTTTTCCCACCATTACCCTCCCTTGCCGTACCCATCCCCCACCTTCCACATTCAATCCTCTGTCCTTGCCCTGTAGTCTCCATGCATAGGTCCTTTATACATGTTCCTTGACTTGACCTTGCCCTTTCTACCTCCCCCCACCCCCGACAGCTTTACCCCCCCGCCCCCTTCCTCCTCTCCTCTGGTCACTGTCCATTTGTTCTTTATTTCCATGTCTCTGGCTCTATTTTGCTAGTTTGTTTGTTTTGTTGATTAGGTTCTTAACCTTTCTGAGTCTGTTTCCTCCCATTTAAATGGGTATAAAGATGCTTCTTATCACAGGGGTATTGTAAAGACAAATGATAGAATGCGTCATCAATTCCAGTAATAGTTAACAGTAACTATTATTATATATGCTAGGCACTTTCACATCCATTATTTCCTTGCCTGCTCACATTTATTCACCCACTCACTCATGAGGAAATGGAGGAAACAAGAGGAACAGTGACTTGCCCAAGGTTTTTCTGGGTGTGAGTTGTCTCCTGGTCTTTCTTTATTGCTGTCTCCCCATGATACACCATGCAGGAGAATCAGGGAACTTTGAAAATCAAAAACAACCAAAGTTTTACCACTGTTATCAGTGATACCCCAGACCAGCAGAAAGTCAGTAAGTGCATTTTTGACAATTCGGTTTAGAAATATACCAGCTGGTGTGTTAGACATTCACTGCACTACGCCCTTTGGGAAAATCCAACAAAAATAAAAGTTTGGGCTTCTAATGAGGTATGGAAGATAAAAACCAAGCTACAAAAATACTCATAAGGAAAATGTAGAAACTCATTCTTAAGGATGTAGCACTTAGAGTCTTGCAGACTTGCCAATAGCTCTTTCTCAAGGGGATGAAATGATATAAAATATACCCAACATGGCACAATTATAAAAATATTTTTATTGGAGTAAGACATACATGCAGATTGGTGCACAAGCCAATCTTTTAAAAAAAATAAAGGAGGGACAGTTAATTTTTATAAAATAAGACACTTCTATGTCACCGGCACCTGGATCAAGAAATAGAACATAGGCATACCTTGTTTGATTGCACTTCACAGATGTGACATTTTTTTACAAACTGAAGGCAAGGCCTTCCACCAGCAAAATGATTACAGCCCACTTTATTATGATACTCACTTTATTGCAGTGGTCTGGAACCAAACCCACATCTCCAAGGTACACCTACAGTACTAGCACCTAGAACCCCCTCTGGGTTCCCTTTCTATCACTACCCACCCCTCAAGATAATCACTATCTTCACTTTTAATATCATATAGATATGTACCCATTTGTGTCCACCCTCTTTCACTCAACAACATATTTGTGAGAGTTGTGCTTCTTGTTGAGTGTAGGTGTAGTTCATTCATTCTTATTACTGTATAGTATTCCACACAGTTTATTTATCTTCCATAGGTGGACATTTGGCTTGTTTCTTTTGAGCTGTAATAAAGAGAGAGTCTATAAATATTTTTGAACATGTCCTTTGGAGAATATGTGCACAAATCTCTATTGGCTACATATATCTAGGGATGGAATTGCTGCTTCAAAATCACAGGCTAATAATGTTAAACAGGTTGTACAAGGGTGGACCCAAAAAAACCTGGGAATTATCTTCTGGAGGGCAGGCCCCTTGTAGTACAGGCATCCCCCACTAGGTGAGTGTTCTAGGAACCCATCTGTATCAGTGTACCAGCTGGAATTGTTGTGAGAGGCTGCATTCAGCTTCAGTGTATTTTTCTGAAGACTCAACATGTTTGCCTGTGTCACGATGGGTGATTTATGAGCACACCTGCCTATGCTGACCACTCAGCAGTTTTTGACCAAAAACAGCATGATCCCTATCCCCCATCCTCTCTGTTCACCAGATCTCACCCCCAAAGGACTTTGTTTTGTTTCCCTAGATTAAAAAAGTCCTCAAAGGAAAGCATTTTGCTGATATGGAAGAGGTGAAACAAAAAAAGGCAGAAGCACTAAAAGGCATCAAAATCAAGGTGTTCAAAAACTGTTTTGAACAGTGGGGGGAAAAAGTCTAGATAGGTGTATTGCATGAAATGGAGAGTACTTTGAAGGTGACTAAAGTTGAACCATGTAAAAATAAATACACAATATTCTATAAATAAATTCTAGGGGGTTTTTTGGTCTCCCTCATATAAGTTCTCTAATTTTAGCCACTCTGGTGGGTGTGAAGTAAGGTCATATTGTAACTTCAGTTTGCATTTCTGGGATGATTAATAATTGAGAACTTTTTCATATGTCTGTTGACTTTTTTGAGAAATGCCTATTTATTTCCTCTAGAAAAATACCTGTTAAAATATTCTGCCTATTTTCCATTGCATTTTCTGTCTTGTTCTTGCTGATTTGTAAATGTTCTTTATATATTCTGCGTATAAGTCCTTTTTTGGACAATGATCTTTTCTCTTTCTGTGGCTTTCCTTTTCACTGATGGGGTCTTTCGATGAGCAGACATTTTAAACCACAATGTTATTCAACGATCAGTTTTTTTCCTTTATAGGTAGTGCTATATGTGTTTAAAAAGTCTTTGCCTACCTCAAGGTCATGAAGATATTTTTTGATATTTACTTTGGATAGTTTTATTGTTTCATCTTTTATATGTAGATTGGAAATCCATCTGGAATTGGTTTTTTGGTATGGTGTGAGGTAGGGGGTCAAAGTTCTTTGTTCTCCAAGTGGGTGTTCAATTGATGGAGCAACACTTACTGAAAAGGTAAACTATCTTATCCCAATGCATCACAACAGCATCTCTGACATAAATCAAGGACCACATAATGTAGATCTGTTTCTGAATTCTCTATTATATTGGCCAGTTCATATATCCGTGTTCTTGTCGCCAATTACTATTCCTGTAGCTTTATAATAGATATTGATATCTGATACGACAGTTCTCTAGTTGGCTCTAATTTTTCATCCACCAAGCTATCTAGTACCGAAGGGGCCACTTTTACCTCCCACTTTGCTTTCAATATATCCAGGCGGGTATGATGGATTTGCGTGTCCTCATGGCTTGGTTATTTATGGTTACCTGGATTTTTATCCCATCAAAGGCCTTTAAACTAAAAGCTAGCCAGGTGTCTGCAGTCGAACAAAGCAGATCTGCTGGGTAATTAAATAACGTGGGGAAGGGTGGGGGGAGTGAATTAGGTGGGTTGCCTCACAAGAGGGGTATAGTGAGGAAGTGGTCTATCTATATTTGAGGACTGTCTTCTCGGAGAAATACTAGGAAAGCTAAACTCTAAAATCCGGGCGGAGACGAGTAAGGAGAGGTCACCACACTTAAACTTCGCAGGGGTTCGGCCAGGAGGCTGCCAAGCGGATCTGCTCGCGGGGGTGGGGCCGCCAAGCCTCGAATCACCAGTTGAGGGCTCGCGCGCGCGCCGCCCGCTCAGAGCCGCGCCTGCAGCTGCTGGGGCCAGAGCTGAAGACAGAGCGCTGAGCGCAAAGGCGAAGCGGGCTTCTCGGCGGGCGCGCCCCGCAGACCATGAGCCGCCCTTGCTCCGGGAGCAGCCGTGGCGCGGGGTCCGCTGTGCGAAACCTCTGAACCCCTGACGGATACGCGGGCGCCAATCGGAGAGGTGAGTCTACGCTGGCGTCCCTCAGGGGTGCTGCTCCTCCCGGGGTGCCTCAGCTTCTCCCTCCCAAGGAGGACGGGCTGGGAAGTTGGTTGGAGAAAGTTTAAGCTACCGGGAAAATAGAGCCAGCTCTCCCACTTCGTCCCCCAGTCTACCAGCTGAGTTGGTGTTTGGGGTCTGGAGTGGCTGAAGCGCGATGGGACTTGCGCCTTCGTGGGCCTCTGAACCACTGGGGTTCCCCAAACGTGGCCCGCGACAGGAGGCGCCCACCGACTTGTTGGTGAGCATCTCTGCCCTTTGCCCTTGGCATCTTCCCCGGCACTGGTCTCTCCTAAACCCCTGCCCTTCCAGGCTGCTCGGCCAGCCGCCCCTCCGGTCCGGTCTCTCTCTGCCCTGAAGCCAGAGGGAGTCAGGGGGCGCGGGGGGACAGGGGGCTTCGCTGGGAGGCCTGGGCTTGAATGAGGCGAGTTTCTCCGCTAATCTCTTGGAAAGTTTGCAAAGAAAACGAAGGAGCCTGCCGTGTAACTGTTGACAACATCTCCCTCCCTCGCTCCCTTTGTTGGGGAAGAATGAATAGTCGGTTGTGTCGCTCTGTCTGCATCGGAGAGGAGAGGGGAGGGGAGGTGAAGGCAGGGAAGGGAGGCTCGGAAGGAGACTCCTATCTCAGGCCCTCTTTCCTTGCCGGCTGAGGCTGCCACCCCTTTAACAAGTTTCATCAGGTGTAGACGCTCATCCGGGAGAGATCGGGTGAGCTCAGAAGCAGCTGGAGAGGCAAGGTAGCGTGCGGCGTGCGGCGTGCTCCGTGGGGATGGCGGAGGGTCGTGGCTGGGGTTTCAGTGGTGGAATATTCTGTTTTTGATGTTAACTCGCTTGAAGCAAGGTGCAAAGGGAAAGACCTGTTGCCTAACTTCATTACTGCTTTTACGTAAAAAAGTCATTAGCTAAGATAGAAAATGAGCCAGGCATTCAGGAGATTCGTTTAAACCTTGACTCTTATCTTCCAAGGCTACGCAGATCTCTCCAAAGAAAATACTTTGGCGGAGGGAAGGTCAGTTTGAGAGCCGATAATCTCCCTGCGTGTTGCCAAGAACTGGGGCCGGATCCGGGAACGGGGGAGGCCTTGGTGCTGGAGGGCGGGGCTCAGCCGAGCGGTCCGGTCCGAAGTGGGAAGGGCCTGCCCAATAGATAATAGGGAAGCCACAGACCAAGGGGTTGTGTTCGGGTGTGCAAGGGGGCGTATGGAATATAATGTAAACAGCTTGCCCTGCCAAGGGCTCCCTCACCCCCCACTGCAGGTTTCTCCAAACTGCTGCTAAGGCTGATATTTCCAGGATGACTAACCAAGATCTCAATCTCTCCCTATTCATATAGAAAAGACTGCTTGTCCAATGGATGCTATTCTTAAGAACCTTATCATGTAAATCCCGTGCTTTGGGTGCTTGAAATACAATCCATGGAAGAATTATCCATACTTCAATCCTTTGGCTAGACTTCATTGAGTTTATTTCAAAAATAAAGGGATACTCCTAATTTTTAAACCTCAGCAAATCTTCATTTTAAGTGGATAAACCGATTTCATATGTGCGGTTGTTGATCTCTCCCTGTCTGACTCTGAAGAGAAGATATAAAAGTATATATCTGAATTGCAAATTCTCTGCCAAGGTCACAATAGGGTAGCTAAGGCACTTACATTTCCAGAGTTTAAAATATAGAAAGTTCTTAAAGCACACTTCAGGTGATCACCTGTGAGAATGACTTGAAAATATCTCCTGTCAAAAGTAAAATAGAAAAACCCAAGTAAGTGAACTGCCTGTCTCTGCGTTGACTTCCATGTGATCATGAATTTCTTTGACACATCTTGGTAAACTATTCACAAGCATTTCAAAGTACAGCCACAGAGTCTGGAAGGCAACACATGGGTTGGGAGCTTGTCAGGCTTGCTCTTGTCCCTGCTGAGATTTCAGTTCTTTGAACATTCACATGGATCTCATTTTCATATCAAGATATAGAGTCTTTGACCTTTGCACAGTCATGCACCACTTAACAGGGATGCATTCTGGGAAATGCGTTGTTACGTGATCTCATCATCGTGGGAATATCATCTAATGGGCTTACACAAACCTATATGGTATAGTCTACTCTACACCTTGGCTATATGGTATAGCCTATTGCTCATAAACAATAAACCTGTTACTCTACTGAATACTGTAGGCAACTGTAACATAATAGTAAGTATTTGTATATCTAAACTTATCTAAACACAGGAAAGGTACAGTAAAAATACAGTATAAAAGATAAAAAATGGTACACCTGTGTAGGGTACTTACCATGAATGGAGCCTGCAGGACTGGAAGTTGCTCTAGCAGAGTCAGTGAGTGAATGGTGAGTGAATGTGAAGGCCTCGGACATTACCGTACACTGCTATAGACTTTAAAAACCCTGTACACTTAGGCTACACTAAATTTATAAAACGTGAGATTAAAGCAAGCATAAGAGGAAATGATATAATCAAGAGATGGAGTAAACACAAGATGTTAACTGCGGCTGGTGTTAACATGGCACACAGTTTTACAGCAAATTTTTTTTTATAAGTAGAAAGAGTGCACTCTAAAATTATAGCACATGATTGTATGTGCTATACTGTTATTTGACTGACAGCACAGTGGGTTTGTTTACACCAGCATCACCACAGACATGTGAGTAACATGTTGCATTACAACTGTTACATCACTATGCAGTAGGAATTTTTAGATCCATTATGATCTTATGGGAACACTGTCGTGTATGTGGTCTGTTGTTGACTGAAATGCCATTATACAGTGCATGACTGTAAATGTTTCAAGATCTGGTGTTAGACTGAGTCAGGACACTATGTCTGTTTACCTGCACAGTGGAGAGGAGCAAAGCCTGGTGGCCAGAGTCTCACCTGGGCTTTCCTTTTAAAGACCGTGTACATGCCTGCTTGGTTTGCCTGCGTGTGTGTGCCTACATCCTACTTGGTTTGGTATGTTTACATCTGTTGCTTTAGGTTAAAACATTTCCCTCCTCATCCTTCCTGGCCATTCTTCCCCAGAATCAGTGACTTCGTTCGTGAACTCTCCTTGTAATAGGGATACAATGACAAGCAAGACAGACATAGTCCCTTACTCTGCTTAGAGGAGACCTGCTATTTATTGAGTACTTGCTGTATGTCAGGGCTTTCCATACACAATCACATTTACTTTTCCCAAAAATCCCATGAAAGAGGTATTGTTAATCCATTTTTACAAATAAGAAACTGTCAGGTTGAGTAACTCATCCCAGGCCACACCACTGGTAAGTAAATGGCAGAGTGGGAATTTGATCCTCCAAGTGTCTGACTCCAAAGCAAGCCTAGGTTCAGGGTCAGACCATGTTTGATTTTTAAAAATCAAATCGCACATAGGGAGTACATGGTGACTACAATGTCACGACGGAAACATCTCCAGGTGGAGAAAACATGGAGCCAGAGACTGGAGACTTGAATTTAGTCTCCACGGTGCTCTTCCAACCACATGCTCCCAACTCAAGGCCTTCGATTTGCAGATTCCCCGGCCTGGAACTCCATTCTGATCTTCTCCTGATTGGTTCCTTCTCTCTCTCTTTTTTCCCCCACCCCAGGTCTCATGTTATCATTTCCTCTTCAGAGAGGCCTTCCCAGACCACCCTAACCTAAAATAGCGATCCATCCCCAGCCTATATATTCTATCATTTCATCCTGTTTTGTGTTCTTTAGTGCCTTTGTGACTGGGATATAACCGAGTTTGCTTTCTCGTCTGTGTTGGTTGGACTCCCCCATCATAGTGTAGGCCCTGGAAGAGCGGGACCTTGTCTGGTTTATTGTAGCTTCAGCCCTGGTGCATTGTAAACCTTCGGAGAATATATATTGGATGAATGAAAAAATATATATTTTCTTATTTGGAAAAGAGAAAAGGCTTGATTCTCTGAGATCCCATCTACGTATAACACACTTATACTTTACCTAGTGGTCAGATGTGGTAAGTGGCTTCTCTGTTGAAATGGAAAGTCCTTACCTTGAATCTAGATTCAAACTACACCCATGCACTTCCATCCCTTGGATTTCCCCCTGGGTGCTGGAGTCCAGAAAAATTAAAAGTGCTGTAAATATAAAACTCAAATAGGAAATAGAGCAACCCAAAGACTGCAGATGAGCCCCTTCCCCTGTAGTTTTCCCTGCCCTTCTTTTAGTTTGTTTTATTTTTGAAGTTATATGTCTGGGCTGGGCCCATGTTCCCCACCGTTGGACCAATTCAAGCTTGACACAGGGCCCAGGGTTGAGCCAGCCTTTCCGAGTGACTAGACACAGGACAAGGCTGTATATTAATGGAGAAGAGTTCCAGTTTAGGGGCAGAGAGTTGTAAAGTGAGCCTAGCCCATGTATTTTTAATCTGCCTGCAGCTGAGAACTCTCTGGGAACTTCTGCTTGGATGATCTCCCTCTGGTTGTTAACCTCTGCTTCACAGCCTTCAGGTCAGCATCCCTACCTCAGGGAGCCTTTCCAGGTGCACTAGACCCTGGTCCCCATTTCATGTGTCCCCATAGCTCTGGGAATCCCCAACAATGGTCATTACTTACTGTCTATTTCCTCCATAGAGTAGTAACCTCATGAAGATAGTTGTTTGACACTCCCAACAGCCGGCACAGTGCTTGCCACATAGGAGACCCTCCTTAAACGGGTGCTGAATAGAAGAAGGTATGAATGCTTCTGTTGACTGAACGATACTTCCTATGGTCATTCTGTTCTGTTACCCAAGTACGCAAATCTGAGTATAAGTTGCTTTTTACCAAAGAAACTCACTTATCCAGTGGTTGTCAACCCTGCCTCTACTTTGGACAACACCAAGGAACGTGTAAAAGCCTGCTTGCTGCCAGGGTCCTTCCCACTGAGGCTGAGATACAGAGAGAGAGAGAGAGAAAAACAGACAGACAGACATTCTATGAGTGGTTTGCTGTTCCACTTATTCATGCATTCACTGGTTGGTTTCTGTATGTGCCCTGACCTAGGGTGGAACCCACAACCTCGGTGAACCTGGAAGATGCTCTAACCAACTGAGCTACCCAACCAGGGCTGGGTGTTGGGATTTTAAAAGATTTCTAGAGACTTCTTAATATGCAGCTAGGTTAAGAACCACCACTTTAAATTTTCAGAACTCATTCCTTGCTTTGGTCCTTATGGGCTTGAAGCAGCCATGGTGAGAGAGGGTAGGGATATAATTCATGGATATTGTATGGTTCCTGACAGTTTAAGAGCTACTTTCACATCTGTTATCACATCTGATAATAACAAGCTAAGGGATCTACTCTCTGGTTTAAATATTCCCTTTATGTTGATGACTCTTAAAAATCTTCATCCTATGCTGGCTCCTAATTGCACATGCCAGTATCTAACCTCCTAGACCAAACTTTCCCACTGGCACCTCACACGGAACAATTCCAATGGTGAGCTTGTTACCCACCTGCCTGCAGGGGTCCCCTTCTTACACCGCTTGGTGCATTACAGCATTGCACCGTTGTCCCATGGCTGCGGCCTCTGTCCTTCCAGCTGGAAGCCTCATGCTCCTGCCTCCTCACTCTGTCCCTCCTTTCCCTTCCCCTGGCCACTGCCCCAGGTCAAGTTCTTCATTGTTTCTTGCTGGGTTGCTGCTGTCAGCCAGACTGACCTCTCTGTCTCCCTCCCCTCCCCTCCCAAATTACCAGAGTTCCCTACCTGGGCACAGACTGGAATCCGTCTCTCCCTTTCAGACCTACCCAAGCACATACAGCCAAGTTCAGACACCTTGACATAGCCTTTAAGACTTCCTAATCTGGTCCTCAGAAGATGGTTCTTGACCTCTCCACTTTAGCCACACCACAGGACTTGCAGCTTCCTGAGCCTGTATCTGCATTTGTTCTATTATGTGATCCTTTTCATTCTGAGCTGTCTTCTTTGCAACAGAGAGAGTGGTCTGTGTGTAATGGGGGTGCAGGGTTTGAGGGCAGACTGTGGAGCCAAGGGCTATCCTCTTACCAGCCTTGGAGAAGGCCAGTGCATCGGTCTTGGCTAGGCTGCTGTGTTATCCAGGGCACTTCCTGCCTTTATGCATCTGCTGATACAGCATCCTCTTGGAGGGTTTTTTCTTCCAGTTTTATACCTTTCAAAATCCTTCATCTCTAGTGAGGCCTTCTCTGAGATCCTCCTTGAATCTTTTCATCAAAATTAATTGTTTTTCATATGATTTCACTCCAATGTGGGATATAAAACAGAAAGCAGCAAATGAACCAACAATACAAACAAGAAAAACCTCATAGACACAGTATGGTGGTTACCAGAGAGAAGGGCGGGCAGGGGAATAGCAAAGGGTAAAGGGGGTCAAATATACAGTGATAGCAGAAGATCTGACTTTGGATGGTAAGTACACAATGTAATATACAGATGATGTATCATAGAAATGTACACTTGAAGCCTGTATAATTTTATTAACCAATGTCACTCCAATAAATTTAATGAAAAAACTGTTATTCCCTCCAGCATGTTAAGGGCCCCTGTTGATGGTCCCTACATTATTCTCTCTCAGAAATGCATAGTCAGGGATTAGGACTCTTTGTTTCTCTGAGTGTCTTAAAAGGAGTAGGCACTTAAATGTTGGTCGAATTGAAAGTAAAAAGGGCAGGTGTTAATATCCCTCTATAGTCAAGAATACACAGATATGTGGGACATTCTAGAACACTTTGGCTGAATCTTGAAACCTAGGTAGATCGTGGATAGGCAGAGAGGAAACAGGCTGCTGAAAACCCTGGAGCCAGGGTAACTTTCGCCTGTCATACTAGCTTGGAAATAGAGTTGATCACAATGTGGCCCTTTGCACACAAAGAGCTTCCGTGGAGTGCTCTGGGCCTCCTCACAAGGTTCTTTGAAATGATCCAGACCTGTCTATGGAGGAAGAAGGTGCTGATTAGCTGAGACAGGTGACAGTTCACAGCTGGGTGTATGTGGGTGTGTGTAGAGTGAAGGAATCCTAGTCAGCTCACGTCACTGGTGGTCAGGAAGGGAGAGCTAGGGAGTTTGGTTTCTTTTTTAATAATGATGATTAATGTTGAGCAAGTGCTGACAGTGTGCCAGGTACTGGTCAGAGCTGGGAGGGGCCCACACCGGAAGGGCCCTCACCATTCTATTGTTCTGCACCCGCCGTGAGCCAGGCCTTCTGTGTGGTCCCAGTTAGACATGGAGCAGACAAGCCCCAGAATCACCACGTTTGGCAAAGAACTGAGGACAGTGTTAGGATCGTATATGTTGAGTGAGGGGTCTCCTTCCACCCAGCCCCCAGCACTTGCGTGTTTCTCTCTGTTGTGTGCGGAAGCAGTGGATCCTGCGTGTTTTTCTTGTCAATTGTTTTCTTTGCACACTCTGCTGTCTTTATCCTAGCTCTTCCTGTTGCACTATGAGACTCTGGAGGGCTGTGTTCTTCTTGGCTACCTTCAGGCCGTGTCCCAAATCCCCAAATCCTTTGTGGAACTGAGTCTGCAGTTGTTCTATTACATGATCCTTTTCATTCCGAGCTGTCTTCTTTGCAACAGAAAGAGTGGTCTGTGCGGAATGGGGGTGCAGGGTTTGAGGGCAGACTGTGGAGCCAATGGCTGTCCTCTTACCAGCCTTGGAGAAGGCCAGTGCATCAGGCTTGGCTAGGCTGCTGTGTTGTCCAGACCAGTCTGATACCATGACTAGTGGCACATGTTCTGGATGCTTATGTCTCCAGAGACTAGGCCAAATTTTTTCCCCTCAAATCTTAGCCTTAAAAATGTCATATAATTGGGCTTTGGTCAAAACCAGAGTTTGTTTTGCGGGTGTTGGTTGGAGGTGCTGAGTCTCTCAGGTGGACATTTTTACTAGTGGTCAAAGCTGGACACAGTTGTTGTGGCTGCCTTTGTACATAACGTCAGGTGCCATTTTCCTTTTCTTTCCGCGCCCCCCTTTTTTCTTTTCTCTCTTCCCTTCCCACTCTTCCCTGACTGTTAGATACCCAGGCACAGTGCTTAACCCCGCTTGTGGCAGGCAGGTTCCTGACCCCTCCGGAAACAGTATACATGGCGCCTCCACCTTAGTGGCTTCCCTCTGCAGCTGAGCCCACTGATGTATGGAGGAGTGGCCCACCTCCTGACCCCTGACCTTGGCCTGTCTTCATTAATTAGAGCACACTGATTTATTAATAAGCACCAGGTCACTGACAGAACACTTGCCCTGTTGCTCTGAGTATAGCGCAACAGAGGGGCTGGTCTGGCACTGAAGGAGTTCTAGCAGCTAAGGAATTCCAGTAATCGCTGCCTGTTCTTATCATGTACAGGGTAGTAGAAAAATGTGAGCTAATTATCTAACACACTTATAATATTTTCTCTAATGCACTTGTTACTGAAACCTTGAGTCCTTCCTCAATAACCTTTACTGTTAGTCATGCTTTTCCATCAGCTTCAGACACCTGAAATAATAAAACAGCTCATGTGCCTCTGAAGTGTGCTTGCCCTTTTCCATGGGCAGATCTGCTGGCAACCCTGGGGAATTCCTCCGTAATATCAAAAAAAAGGAGACGCATAAACTTCCTGTTTGTATTAAATTTCACTAGTGATGCCATTCAATGTTTGTCTTTTAGCACCATGAACATTTTCTTTTGTAATGTGTATTTCCATTTCTTTCTGTAAGTAGGAAGTCAGTTCTTGTGATTTTCTTAGATTTATGCCTTCACTCTTTTCATTCCCCTTTAGAGTTGAGAATCATGGCTGCGGGAAAATTTGCAAGCTTTCCCAGAAACACATCAGTGAATCACCAGTTCCCCCTGGCCTCGTCCATGGACCTTCTGAGCAGCAAGTCACCTCTCGTCGAACATCGCACAGATGCCTATCAAGACGTGTCTATACACGGCACCCTTCCACGGAAGAAGAAAGGCCCTCCACCCATACGGTCCTGTGATAACTTCAGTCACATGGGTACCCTTCCTCATTCCAAATCTGCACGGCAGAACTCACCTCTGACCCAGGACGTCATCCAGGAGCACCCGCTGCCAGACTGGAAAGGTGAAACCTTCACCTTCAGGTAACTTCTTTAATTTCATGAGGGAGGATGACAAGTCTTAAACAGCATTTTTAAAAAGTCATTTTATTACAGGAAACGTCAAACATGTGCACAGTAGAGCAGACAGTTAATTAACTTTCATGGACCCATATCCATGGACCCAGCTTCCACAGTTTTCAATTCATGGCCAGTTCTGCTTTGTCTGTTTTTCCACCCACTTTCCTTCCTCAGGTATTATTTTAAAGCAAATCTCAGAACTCATTTTATTTTATCTGTAAATATTTTGGTATATGTCTTTCAAAGATAAGGACTGTTTAAAAAAATATACAACTATAATACAAAAAACTATAACACCTAAAAAAATGAATCATTAAAAAATATCTAATATCGGAGAGTATATTCAAAGCCAACTTTTTTTTTAAAAAAAGATTTATTTATTTATTTTTAGAGAGAGGGGAATTGAGGGAGAGAGAGAGAAACATCAATGTGTAGTTGCCTCTTGAGCACCCCCTACTGGGGGCCTGGCCTGCAATCCAGGCATGTACCCTGACTGGGAATTGAACCTGCACTCTGGGTCGCAGGCTGGTGCCCAATCCATTGAGCTATACGAGCCAGGGCTCAAAGCCAACTTTCTATATTATGAAGTATCTCAAAAAGAAGCACAAGGTTTTTGTTGTTGTTGTTGTTCTTTTTTTTTTTATTCATCAAAATATCAGATTCTGAACTACATCCATGCAATCTAAAGAGATGCCAGGATGTCTATAAATTAGAACCTGTATCTCCTTGGATTTAGTTGTAACATGAATTAAAATGTTGTGTGGACTCATCATCAGGTCACATTCAGAATACAGCAAAGCTGATTTCTCCTTTCCACCAGGGACCTGGGTAAAGAAGCCTTATGGTTTGTAAAGGCTTCCTTTCTGTGTTTGTAATGGGCCTGGCTGTGATTGGTTGCTGCTTATTAGCGCTGGCTTAGAAACTGCACTCCTTTTCCTGCTGGGGAAGACCATCAACCTGCGATGCAGTCAGGCAAAGATCGGGGTGGTTTCTTCTGTTGCATCTCTTCGTGTCTTTTTGTCCAGTCCTGTAGCAAAGAAGCCCACTTTGATCCCAGCTCCCGTATTTGTTCAATATTTATATATCGAGCACCTACATTAGAACACACTGATTTAATAAGTACCAGTGTGTCACCTGGAAGATTCTGCCCAGCTCCTGTGGGTACCTAACTGAAGGGCTGGTCCAACATTGAAGATATTCTAGCAGTCAAAACATTTCGGTAATCTGCTTGTGCCTTTTCACAGGGTGGAGAAATATGTGAACTAACAGGATAGCTATGGAACATCTGAAACAGTGTCCTCCTGGAGCTGTTATTCTAGTGAAAGACCCAGATAATAAACACAACTAAATAAACTAGACAATTGCAGATTACAGTAAGTGTTGTAGAGGAAGTAGACTGATATGCTGGGGATTTATTGAGGTTGTATCTTTTTTATAGGGACAGGTCTGTGAGGAGATGATATTTAAGCTAAGGCCTGCATGACAAGAGCAGATAGCTGTGGAAGAACCAGCGGAAGGCTGCCCCAGGCACAGGGAGAGCAAATGCAAAGATCTGAGGGTGGGAACTGGTTTGAGAAACCCTAAATGAAGCCTGTGTGCCTGTGGCTGGGGTGTAGCAAGCGGAGAGAGAATAACATAGATGTTGGGAGAGGACTAGGCAGGCAAGAGTTTAGGATTAGTTTTAGTATTGCAGTAGTACAAGAAGAAATTAGGTAAAGGCCCAGGTATTCTCTGTAGAAAGAATTAGAGAGCTCCAAAAGGTTTCTGACATCAGGCAAGGAGGTCCCCCAGGGAGAACCAGGTCCATTACGTAGTCCTGGACATGCTCCGAAAGAATCTAAGTAGGTGACCTCCCAGCTCAGAGAAGCTGCTGATGAAACTGGTAAATATGGAGGTACATACCAGTACCCAGTATCGTTTATGTCACATCATCGGCACTGAACAGGTGAGATGCAGGAAGGGGAGCCCTCATTGTTCTCCGTGATGAAGCTACGAAGCAGAAAAATACTTCTGGTCACTCCACAATAAGCACGAATGCCAGGCTGCACAAAGTTACCAGGCTTCCTGTGACCACTTTTTATTTTTTAACTTAAACTTTGTATTGAGCTAGACATCTACTACAAACCACACGCAGACAATTCACAAACTCATATCTGGAAGTCCTAAGGTCCTGGCTAGGTGCCAGCTCTCACAGGGGGACACGGGTGGCAATGGAGTCACCCGCCCCATCTTGAGGAAGTTCTTGATAAATATCCAAGGTCCAAGCTGTCAACCTGCCAGGAGTTCAAAGCTTTTTAATTTGAAAACTCACTTGGATAGAGAGGTCAGATCTCTGTAAAACGATCTTATCGGGGCACAAGTCCTGAGCTTGAAGTCCTGGCAGTGGGAGACTTACCAAGCACTGCTGTTTTAGGTTTGTCTATGACTCAGAGCCGTGTTCATCCAAACTTACATCTTTTTTCCTTAATTTAAAATGTCTTACTGCTAAGGGCAAGTACAGGAAGTAACAAGTGCATATCCTTTAAAATTATGCTGTAAAGGCATGTGGTTGTGTGTCAAAGCGTCATAAAGACCCATTACCCTGCTCATCAGTCTTATTATTTTTACTTACCAAACACATTGGGAACACTTGAGAAGATTTAAAACAATTTTGAGGAGTTTAAAGTTCCTTATTTTTTAAAAAACCCTTTTAAGTAGTCCTAATAAGATTATGAGCTGCCTCAATTCCTTTTAGGAACAACCCTTGATATAAACCAAGTTTGTGTGTGTGAAAAACTAGAGACAAACAATGAATGAGAACCTGTGGTTCCAAGGGAGGAGCATTTGCCTAAGGTGCCACTAGGAAACTACAGTGAAGGAGAAACCGCAGTTCTATTCCTAACTCATCGCTTAGAGCCTAAAAAAGGCTGAGACACACCAACCACCCCCTACTCCAACTCACTCACCACTGGAAGCGGAGAGCCACATCTTTTCAAGTTAGAGTTTTGGATCTTTGTTTTCAGGGACCTAAGACGAGTTAGGTCAACTTCTAATAAAATTATTGTATTTTAGAGGGCTTGTTTCAGGTAAACATTTTTTTTTTTTTGGCCTTGTTGCTGCTGCTGCTGCTTCTTCCTCTTCTTCCTCCTCTCCTCCTTCTCTTCCTCCTCCTCCCCCTCCTTTTTCTTTTTATTTAATCCTTACCCAAGAACATGTGTGTTCATTTTAGAGAGAGAGGAAGGGAGAGAGAAAGAGGGAGAGACACCTCAAAGTGAGAGAGAAACTTCAGTCGGTTGCCTCCTGTGTGCGCCCCAACCAGACGCCAAACACATAACCTTCGCACGTGCCCTGACCAGGAATCGAACCCGCAACCTTTTGTTTTGTGGGATGATGCTCCAACCAATTGAGCCACACCAGCCAGAGTTAACTTGCTGCCTTTAATAGTGAATTTAGGTGTTAATTTTATGACCTGCTTGGATGTCAAGTGTGAAAACCTCCCTTTTTGTCACCTTTGGTGTTGGCATGACAGTAGTTGGGCCATCCTAAGAGCCCAGACCCACTCTTCATGTGTGTCCCACCTACATGTAGAGGGAAGCCCTCCAGACATTACCTCCTTGTCTTGTGAAATACTCTGATAAGTTGCAAGTTTCTCTTTTCTCAAAGGTTTGTTTACCTTATTAATCATTAAAAAGTCACTGTTACTATAATTGAATATGAATTACATATCCACTCTGTGAGACCCTGGGCAAAGCAGGGGAAGTCTCCTCTTTGATCTAAAAATTTGCATTACAAAGCTGTCATATAATCATGACATAGCCGCATGAATTATTATCTCTGACATTTTATAGTTTTAGAATATCTTGAAGGGTAGTCATAAATTATCTTGTTTGAACATCTTAACTTTGTGTGAGGTACATAGCAGATATTATCATGAACATTACTCTTGTCGTCGTCATCATCATCATCATCATCATCCTCATTGTTTACAGTTGAGATAATGGTTCAGGGATGTTGAGGCAGAAGATGAGACCCTACGGGGTGACTGAGATCAGATCAGAACCCAGAAAGTGCTGGTGGGCCTTCCCCAGACACTGTGCTCCACTGCCTCCCAAGGATATTGGCGCCAGCTGCAGGCATCCTCTGAGCTATCTTCTTGCTTGCAAAGCTTCAGTCCACAAAATCTGAGTCCAGTGCCTGACATCCCCCTTGGGGAGAATGGAGCCTTAGTCTCCAAGAGCAGGCAGAAAGCAGGCCTGGAAGGGGGAGTTGGTCTCCTCATTTGGAGGCTGTATCTCTTGGCTTTGTTGTTGTCTTGGCTGCCCTTGGATGTACTTGTGGTTTTGAAAGGTGGCCAAAGCGGGAAGCCAGGGCGCTCTTAAACCTGCTGCTTGATGTCACAGAAGGAGCCTTTGTTCTGCATGCAGAGCAAGGCTTCTCTGACAGGTTTGCAGACAGGATTTCCTCTTGACATTAGCGTTGTTCAGCGGGTGTCCCTTTGATTCATTTATCTTCAAGTACACATTTTTATTTGAACCTGGGACCCTCCTCTGGGACGGTTCCTGTTGTTGGATATCTGTGTTGCTGGGGTAGCTGAAGGATCAACGCTTGGACACGGCCGGGGTCCTTTTCCTGCCTGTGGGTACGTGGAGGCACGCATTCCTGGGAACAGCTGCCGAGTGCCTAATTCCTTCTGCCCCTTGTGCTGTGGGAGCATGCGGTGGGACAATGTGATGTTTCATTAGTTTGCATGAGTGGAGCTGACTGACTAGTCACAAGTGTTTTAACTGACAGGGGCCAGGAAGTCTGCAGAATTATCCCAAGTTAAAATCTGGTACACTTTCCCAGGCGGTGAGTAACCTGCCATGTCTCAGTGTCAGCTCTTCAAAGCTGAAGTCAAAGTGTCAGGCACGGAATCCATGCAGATTCTTCTCCAAACACCAATTTGAACACCTCGCTCTGGACTGTGCCAGGGCCGCCATGTGAAA